TAACTAGTGATATAGGCAATTCTATTAGAGATAGTGGGAGGCATTATGGTAACCATTGTTGATCACCTTGTATTATGTTTTTACATTATCTATTATGTCCACCCTTTTGATTTGACCAACTCTGTTCTGTTATGTCACATTTGGTTTTACTCTCTTCCCAAAAAGTAATAAGAACCGTGGGAGCAATGAAACCCAAAATGTGTAATAGTCATTGTACAAAAGAGAGGAAAAGAAAGTGCTCTAAACTATATAACTGCATGTATATTTAAGTGTGTAAGATAGAAAATGATATCACAGAGTTTTATTGGATCATTGAACAGAACTATTTGCAGTATCATTGTTGGAATGTCCACTTTACAATGCCCACTTTTTGATTTTGTGACTTGAACAATTATTTCTAAGATGACAATATGTAATCCATTAACTAGTGATTTCCTACTGTTTATTTTTTTTTCTGTAAATCTGTATAACTTGTACCCTTTCTCTGCTTTTTTTTTCGTCCTTAAATAAAATTTAAAAAAATAATAAAAAAAAAAGGCCCAGTCTAATAAGAGCTCAGGACAGTCTCCCAACAATTTAATGTTACAATAGCATCTACGATGCCATCGCAGCCAGGTTCCCACGATGTGATGCGTGGATGCTACAGGAACAGGTACAGGGCTGACAGGACGGGCCCCTCCGTACTCTCCCCTCTCCTTTTTCCTCTTTTCCTCTCACATTAACTAATAATTTAACTTAGCAGTCCTAGGAAAACACTGACTTTTACTCAATAAAGAAATCTTTGGATAGACTCTGCAATATAGCACTTTATTATAAACATGCAGAAACAAGAAATTCTCTTTCCCAAAGTCTAAAATCTGAGATATACAAAACAAAGTATAACGTACCAGAAAAGCACTAATGTTCAAAATAGAAATGTTTCCATAGCTACGATAAACTGAATGCTAAGGGAATGGTATGAGTAGTTCAAATACCCTCCTGAAAAGACAGTTTCAATAAAAATTTTCTTTTTCCAGCTATACAGATAAATGCTCACTGTTTATATAGATAAACCATCTTCAGAAAGACCAGCTACCACTAGAAATTTAAAATCCTCTAGATCTTTTAAGAAAATTTGAAAATATCTCTAATTTGGTTTAAAAAAATCAGAGTATACAGTTGTAAGAACCAAACCTTCTAGAAACCAATGCTAATGAACACCAAGAAAAAGCATTAGTGACTATGTTCCTATTCCCAAAATAGGATCTTCTGTATTTCATGAAGAATCCCTAAGGAAATGTACCATGTGCCCAAAGCAGAATGAGAGGTTTGAACTCTGACAATTCCAAAATCAGCAGACTTAACTTTCTAAATCATCTGCCCAGGAACAGTTCTTAAATTTTAGACCTTTTTCCTAACTGAAGAGGTATGCTGAAAGAAAATAAAGTTTTGATAATATTTAATCTAATTTTTTTTCTTTTTGAGACAGGGTCTCACTATGCAGTTCAGGCTGGCCTGGAGCTGTGTAGCCTAGGGAGATCTCGAACTCGCAAGGATCCTCCTGCCTCAGCCTCGCAAGTGCTGGAATTAAAGGCCTGCACCCACAGTCCGGCATTTAATCTATTTTAAAGGGTCTGACAGAATAGTAGTATGCTTCCTGTTTATCATCTTACTTTTCAAATACTTGAAAAGTCAGAGGGAAAAAACCCAGCTTTTGTTTGTTTCTTCATGGTACTACAGCTGGAACTAGGGGGCAGGGATCTCTAACACTGACCTACCCTAGCCTTTTTTTATTTTTATTTTGCAATAGGGTCTCCATACATTGCCCAGGTTGACCTAAAACTTGTGATCCTACCTCAGCCTCCCAAGTACGTGGGATTATAAGCATACACCATCACGGTTGGGCAGCCTGCTATTTATCATTATTCAAGTTTAGAAGTCAGATAAAAGATTCCTCAACATCACCATAATCACTTCCTCGAGCCCCAAAATTAAAACGAACAATTTTTATCACTAATGAGCAATAATCATGGTAAGTATATGGTTCTGAAACCTAGTTTCTCACCTGGTGATTATACCTTTCACAAGTAATCTCATGGGTTTTTTTTAATAACCCAAGTCTAGCACCTATAATGACCAGATGATCAATTTCAAGATACTAGTAACTATGAGAAATGTCTGAGACATCTCCTCACCCCTCCAGCCATGTCCCACCTCTGTTGTTTTCCCAAATCCAGTTCAGAGCCCCATCAGCAACTTAACCTAGAGTAAGAAAGGGAGCGGCTGGCGCTTACATGAGAGAGGGTAGGGGCTGAGGATGCGGCCCAGTGGCAAAGCTTTTGCCTTCTTCAATCCCCAGCACCATGAGAGCAAACAAACAAAAAATTAAAGAATGAGCATAATTATTTCTATATATGAAATAAAGTGAAAAGGAATTAGTTTTTTAAAAAGATACAATAGCGAGAATTTGGAAAGTCCAACACTAACTACTCATCTCCTTATGTCTCTAGCCTCTGTCCCCTCCCACACTTGAGCAAAGGCTGCCCCTCAGCTAACACCTCCAACCCTCTCCCAATCTCTTCTCCTGTAGCTACCACACAGTTTCTATACCACCTGTCACCTCATTCATGAACAATACACCACATTATAGCCACTGTCTTTTCAAACATTCATGGCCTAATTCCATGTGCAGCCAGGCTTCTGCCCAGACTGCTCAGTTCACAATTTATACCCAGAGTCTTACCTCAATCCTCATTCCCATTTAACCCCAGCATATCCTGAGGTACCATTAACCACTCCCTCTATATAACAGCTCTCTTTTGATTGGTCCCTGTCATGCTTCACAATCTCAGCTGCCTGCCTGCCTCTCCATTCTTTCTTAAGTCCCCTGGGTATAGATCTTCTTCAAGTCTTACACTTTGATTTTTACTTCTTTCTCTATATTTTTGGACAGGTTTCACTTTTTTTTTTGGTACCAGGAATCAAACTCACAACCTCTCGCTTGCCAAGTGGGTGCTTATGCTGCTGAGCCAAATTCCCGGCCTGAGATTTCAATTCTTTATCACCAGCTTTGACTGCTTAACACCACCAATGTGTTTCCACTTCCTGTTAGACAACTCCTCTGATTCATTCACCAAGCATTCGCCAAGTACCTGTTATATGCTATTCGGTGTGTTATACAGTGAGAATGGCATACCAGTTAGACCTTCAAAGATAATCTCTGCCTTCAGGCACCACAGCCAAATAACAAAAATGTTTCAAATAATGTGACCACTGTGACAACTACCACACGCTCTGTCTCCTCTGCTTGTGAAAACAGCAGTCCAGATCAGATGAGTTGGGCGAGGGGCCCAAGCTAAGGATCCAGTCTCTCAAGTGTGTCCAGAGCCATGGTCAAGGAAGAGATCTCTCAGAAATGACTAGCATGAACTAGAACTTACAATTTAAAAGTCCTAGATACTCTCAGACTCAACAAAACCTTTTAAAAATTCTTTTTCAATATCCCCTTCAAAAACTAACACTTCTGAAATGGGAAAGTCCACACTGTGGTGTACATCATGGCGTAAGCAGCAATACTCTACCTTCCTTAGATTTTATAAAACATGCTAACTTCATCCTAAACTTAATCCCTGAATTTAAATCCCCTGAATCGCCAAGACCTAATATTTTTCCACAACATTCCTTGTACACATCCATCATTCTCCACCTTCCTGCCATGACTGTATTTCAGGCTATATGAACTGAAAGCTTCCTCAAAGGTCGTCCTAAGTCCACATTCTCTACAGTCAAAATCAAGTATGCAGCATGGATCAATCTTTCCAAACTGCCACTGCACACAGGACACTGCCTCTCTTAAATTGGCACCTTACTGCACGTAAGTAAAATTCCTTCAAAGATGACCTTCAAAGATGTCCACAAACAGTGCCTGCCTGGCAAGTGTGAGGTCATGAGTTCGATCCCCAGTACCAAAAAATAAAATTAATAAAAAAATTTTAAAAAGATGTCTACAATTTGGCTTGAACTGACTTAGGCACACCTTATATTAATTACTATTATCATCATTTTTAACAAAAGCCTATCCTTCCATAGTCCCTCAAATACTCTAATCCTAACCTATTAACCTCACCAGTCTTTCCATCTAAATATCACCCAGCCTCACGCCTTCTAAGTCAAACTTGAATTTCATAATCTCCATGAAATCTCTTTGAATCCTTCTAAGCCACCCTCTTGTGAAGTTTCATACCACACACCCACTTGCACACTGTTGTGTTTAAATTTTCTTAGGACTTATGTATTATTTCTACAAAGAAATTAAAAGGATGAAATGTATGTTTTACACTTATGCCGCCCTGTTCAGTGGTTAAATACACAGACTTTAGAGCTGAACTAGGTTTGACTCTCAGATCTTCTTCTTTCTGTGTGACCTTAGGAAAGCTACCTAACTTCTCCTTTGTAAAATATAGTTTAAAAGCGCCTACCTCAAAAAGTCATTTGAGAATTAAATGTTCGTGTAGGGCCTGTTGCATACATAAGGTGCATACATAAGGTAAGCATTTTATAAGTGATAACTGCTGTTACTTTCACTAGTAAGAAACGTCACCACACAAGTGTTCCAAGTGTTACATTAATGTTACTGTTACAGATATTTCTGCTCTCCATAATAGCAGTAATTAAAGTAAGTACACAGAAGATACTCAATGCTTCTTTGATGGAGGAAGACAGCAAAAGACATAAAAGAAGAAGAAATTTTTTAGGAAATTGTCTTACTTATGACATTTAGAGGAGTAACTGGAAAAGTCTGTCCAGGAATGACCAGAAAACCACTGTTGGCAAGGTCTGTAATGGCTAATCAATCTCAGGGAGAATTAACCGAAGGCCATCCGTCACACAGGGAGCAGTTATATGTTCACAGCCCATCATGTACAACTGCACTATAGTCCCACAGCTGGAGTTCTGCAGTTGAGAATGGGATAACATGCAAGCAAACTCTCTCTGTGAGCTGAGAATGCACAGGTACTTACTGAGCATGCCTCTGTAATTGAGGTCCATATCCCGGCTCTCTGACCGAACTTTAATAGCATCCAGAATGGCATCAGGAGACAAGAGTCCCGAAGGCCTTACAACGTTCAGAAGTTCAGTGAGGCTCATCAGGGGTAAACGCACAGCCTGCATGATTTCACCATGATCTTCCTTTGAATTGTGTTTACACCAGTTTAACAAAGCTAAGAAAATATCTTTTTCAGGAGCTGCAAATGAATCTCTTAATACAATGTTTAAAAGTGCTGTCTGAAAAAGATAAAAAGCAAAAATTCAGTTATGACAGAATCCAATTATGTTCAGGATCAATCAACAAAACTTTACAGAATTGTAGTATCATTTGTATTTAGGCAATTTTGTTTTTTTCAGCCCTGGAGATTGAATCCAGAGCTTGTGCAATAAACTCCCTCTTCAGCCCTATTTTTTTGGACAGAGTCTAAGTTGCCTGGGCTGGGCTTGAGCCTGTGATCCCCTTGGCTCAGCCTTCTGGAGTGCTGGAATTATAAGCAATTGATTCTTTTAACCCTCTTCTTTCTTTAGACTCTGTGTCATGTATTCTCTTGCCTGTTATGGCTGTGTGATTAATAAGAAAGGCAGTGGCACCTTTATTTCCTGCCTGGAATCTGCTACCACTACATAAAGCATCTAGCCTTTCCAATATATTTATACCCATCTTTTTTAGAATAACAAGAAGAAAAGTTAAAAATGATAAAAAGTGACAAATGCATTCAGATTCTTTAACAGAGTGCACATCTGTAAGCCAGTAAAGGATGCAGTGGTGTGTAAAATTCAGAATCTTTTGCTGCACTGTGTTACAGCTACCATATTTTTGGTTCTCAGCTCTCCAAATGGACTTCCATCAACAGTGGTGCAACAGTCTAAGATCTTTGCCTTTAAAAACTAAGAAGGATAATAAAAATCATAGCTTACACTCAAACCAAGAAATAGGGCTTTTAAAAAGATTTTCTCATTAGAAACACCCAAGTTGCAGGTGGAACACAAAAAGGAAAAAAGGAGAAAAAATGACTACCCAAGATTCAGAGAAAGATTTGCGCAAAAAGTTTTATTCTACCTATAACCGTAAATTTATCAGCAAAAAGTGCAATGACTTAAGACATCAATGACATATCTTTTTTATGAATTTTCCCACTTGCTATAAAGAATTTAGTTGCGCTCTATCAGAGAAATACAAAACCAAAAAAAATAACACACACTATCAAAGGACCCTTGTTTGACTGTGATCATAAAAAGCACCACACCCAGCAGCACAGTTATCTTTTGAACATAAAACTTATCTACAGAGCCATAAATGAAAGCAGAACCAGTCTTTCTTATATGATCTAGAGTCCCAACAGCCAGATACAAGTGGTGAGACCAATCATTTCTTTTATAGCAATCACCTTTTTAAAAAACTTCTTACTCCACTGCTGTACTCCAGTAAACAATGTACAAATAAAACAATGCAGGCCTATAAATTACCGCAACCAGACACACCTTCGAAAGGGAGAGGAAACCTTCACTGGCGAGCACCTCTTGAGCATTTCTGTCCATGAACATGCAGCACATGCAGGTTAACTTGGGAAGTGAGTAGAGGCTGGCAACATCAAAAGTCATACAGACATTCTGGATGTTAAGGATGGTGCAGAGGTACTCAGAAGTGGAATCCTCCAGCTCTGGAAACCCGTACTTATGAGCCAGACTCAGAAAGTCCAGCAGCACCTCCTCCTTCTCATCTGTAAGGGTTGCCCGCCCAGTGTAGATGTATTTGAGAAGCATTGTGAAGGCTTCAGCAGTGGTATCTTGGAGCGGGATTTCCGCTTCAGGCTGGGACTCTCGCATCCCACCATACAGTAATGCTCTGTATATCACAGAAGAAACACAGGAGGAAAACTTCAAATAGGATTTGCTACAGTATATATGAAATAAGTTTCCAACATCAGGCAAACATAAATTGCTTAATGACACAAGGGTCCAGCTAAAGAAATGCAAATTAATCATTTTAAATAGTTCTTTAAAGAAAGACAGAAGAATGATTTTCAAATCTTTTTGAATGAATTCCACAAACAACTGAAATAATAAGCTACACTGGGAGTTCAAGATTAAATAGATGTAGTAGCTAGTCTTTTAAGAACATTGAAATCAACATAAAAATGTTAAAAGTCAATAGGCAGTATTCAAAATAAAACTATAGAGATGTAATCATATTTTTAAAAACCCATCAGATGTCATTCTCCTGTTAGATTCACAGAAATTAAAAAGCCATTAATATCCAGTGCTGCAAAAACACTGACGAAGCAGTTTCTTTTATGCACTGCTTTGAGAAACAGTGTATAAAAAAGAGACCTTGTTTTTGAAAAGTAACTCAGTGACACCTATTCTAACCTAAAATGTGTATACACTTCATTGCAGTAATTTTACTTTTCTCAATTCTGGAGAAAAATGTCCATAAATAGGAACACATTAGAAAAAAATGACACACACAATCCAATAGCCATTAGAAAGATCAATAGAGACCAAGAGGTACTTCTTGGAAAGACATGTCTAGGCCAGTGATGACAAACCTTTCAGAGCTCTCACTATACAAAGAGCCCGCCGCAGCACATGTTGTCTATGCACTTTCCTAGAGCACTGCAGATAAGCAAGGAAAGTGCAAAGTTTACTACAAAACTTCCCTCTTAAACAGTTAGCCTTTCTTTAGTTGGAAACTGACAGCTTCTTCTGACAGTACTTAGGCGTCTGATTACTGACAGTTAACTTTTCAGCATTTCTTGGCTCATGAATAGTGTTGGCAATGAGAATCTAAGAAAATATTGAACATGGCTCTGAGTTTAGCCAAGTGAACCATCAAACGTTGCAAAGGTTCGATATCCACAAGAATGAGGTCAATAAATGAGGGGAAAATATTCTATTCACTCAATATGATCTTCAAATTTCTAAAAGCATCTGAATTTCTATTAAGGATATACTGATCGCTACTGACATGTGGATCAAAGGAACAGAACAGAGGATGCAGAAATAGCCCCAGGTATATTCAACTACCTAATCTTCGACAAAGGGGCCAAAAACATACACTGGAGGAAAGACAGCCTCTTTACCAAACAGCATTGGGAAAACTGGTTTTACACATGCAGAAGATTTAATCTAGACCCACATCTCTCACCAGGTACTATACACTAAAACAAAATGTATCAAAGGCCTAAATATAAAACTGAAACAATCCACTAGATAGAACAGGTGAAACCATTTGAAACTTAAGTGTAGGCAAGGAGTTTCTAAACAGAACCCCAGTCGCACAAGAAACAGCATTAAAATCATCAGATAAGAGTTTATCAAAAGTTCATCGCATAATTGGAAAAAATTTTGCCAGCTACTCCTCAGACAAAGGACTGATATCTAGACTATAAAAAGAACTCAAAAAAGTTAATTACCCCAAATAAATGACCCAATCAAAAACAATGGACAACTGTAATAAAAACCTTCTCAGAAGTACCAATAGCCAATAAATTTATGAAAAAAATATTCAATCACTGACCATTAGGAAAATGCAAGCTAAAACACTGAGAGTCTACCTTACTCCATAAATAATGGCCACCATCCTGAAATCAAATAATAACATGTGCTGTAACGCTGCAGGGGACAAGGAATCCTTCTACACTGCTGTCGAGAATGTAAGCCAGTACAGACACTATGGAAATCAGCACAGAGGTTACTCTAACAACTAAAACTAGAAATACCATTCAACCCAACTATTCCCTTCTAAGTATCTTCCTGAAAGAGTTAAAAATGTCATATCACAGTGATACATGCATTCCTATATTCATAGCAGAACAAGTTGTAACAGCTAAACTTCAGAAGCATCCTCTTTGTCCATTAACAGATGAATAAAGAAAACGTGGTGTTTATAATAATGGAGCAGTACTCTGCAGAGAAGAAGCAGGTTGGGAGGTCAGTTTACCAAGACCATGAGAAGCCTGTCTACCAGGGAATCAGTGTAAGTCACATTAATCATCAACTGTGAGATGGTAAAGGCAACAAAAGCTCATGCTGACAAATATTCTCCAGGCCTTTAAAAAGAGTAGACTGTCACCACGACCTGGGAAACCTTTTAACACCTTAAGGCTACAGATGATTTCTAAAGGAAATCAACAATAAAAAGTCTACAAAGATAGAATTTTCATATGTATTGAATTTAAGGATTGCTATGATTTAACTTTGTGCTTTGTTACATATTTTTCAGAGTAGAAAATACCAAGGGTTTGTACATGCTATTTGAATCTTCATAACTATTGCACACTTACCTAAAATACTGGCACCTGGCCGCTAAAATTACCCGGTGGGCAGGAAAACGTTTCTTCTCCACAACGAATGTGACATCGCCGTATTCTTCTCCAATCAACAAAGCACCAATATGTTCAGACAAAATATGCACATGATCAATTTCCCCCACTGCAGTAAAGGGCCGAAGAGGGTGGCTGTTACTCATCTTGTCAAATTGGTAGTTGCTGATCTATTATAAAAAGGGGATCAGAGTTAGTAGACGAAGGGGAGTACAGTTAGCTGTGTTTATGATATATGATTCTCAAGTAAAACTTTAAATGCTTCAAAGAAACTCATGGGAGAGAACATGGATCTTCAGCAATCTCCTTATTAACTGATTTATTCCGGGAAACCACTCATTTCCACTAACTCACTGCCTTCACACCTCATCACACCAGAAAAACAAAAATGTCAGGTTCTTAAGTACCGACAGCACTCGGTGCTATCACAATCCGGAAAACTAAAACCATCACAGGTCTATGGGTTTGTTTTTGCAACTGGAGAATGAACCCAGGGATTTTGCACTAAGCTACACCATCGATAGATTGATTGAGTGAGTGATTGATTGACTTGGGGGGGGGGGGACAGGACCTAAGCTGCTAAGGACAAAGGCTCAAACTTGTGATACTCCTTCCTCAGCCTCCCAAATCCCTGGGAGTACAGTCATGTACCATCAGGAAAATTAAAATCAACATATTTTAGCAAAGATTTATTTAAGAAGGTTTGGTACAACTATGCCCAGAAAACCATTCAGGCATTGACCTATGCTTAAATTACAAACAGAATTCATAAAATAATCAGATTTCATGTAAGAGATTTTAATCTGAAAGCATCATAAATATTCTAGAAAGATAATCTGAAATAACAAAAATAATGACATTTATTAATGAAAGTTTATAGTAGCAGCCTAAGCCTCTCCCAGAGAAAGAACAACCCTGGCATTTCTCTCTAGACTATAAATTGCATCCCAGGCGCACGGCTCAGAGATCAGGACGCTGGTGTACACCACAACACTACACACACTCCACGTACAGGCGCTCCCTGATTCTCTATAAAAACATCTGAAAAATAAAAGGACATAAGTTGGTTAATGGCTTTATAGGTTAGAAAAGGGAGTTATCTTAGAAAGTCAAAAATATCTTTATTTTTAAATCCCTCATGCACTTGTAGGCTGTGCTTTCCAGTTTAAGAGCCCAGCAGCTGAGTGACAGACTTCACAGCATTCAGCACACCAGGAAAGACGGCAGTCAGCTTAGGTGAGACCCTGCCCGCCTGCTGCACTGCGTGCTGAAGGAACTGAGCCAGACACCTTCTCTCCACTCACCCTCCACACCCTCTCAACTCCACCTGAATGAGGAGGAAGCATTCAGCAGCGACTCATCTTTAAACACTATATCCACACCAATCATTAGCAAGGTGTAGAAAAACAGTCTCCTCCAACTGCAGTCAAGATCCCACAGACCAAGTCGCTTAGCTACCTACTGTCACACACCCAGCCTCTACAGAGGGGACCACCAGCAGGGCCTGTGATCCAGGAGGAATGGAGGATGGCCAGGCTAGGGGCCATCCACCCCAGGTAAGTGAGCAAACTCCTGGTCCCCCATGCTAGGAGCAAACTGCCGTTGGTGCCACAGCAAATCCAGCTCCCTCAGCTGCAGTCTCCACTTGAAGGCCTTTGAAACAAATATATTATCTCCAGTCCCTTGTGTATAAAAGACCATATGCAGTTTTAAAAGGTATATTTAGGAGCACAAACAGGTAATGTGTGATACAATAACCTAACATTTAACACAAGAAGCTAATACAGGAACAGGCAAACTTCCTGCAAAGGGCCAGGCAGTAAATTCCCTAGGCTCTGACCACTATCCCACCTTTGCTGTACAATGTAGCTCTGTGACCTAGAAGCAGCCACAGGCAGTAAGTACAATGAACATGGCTACTTTCCCAGTAACACAGAAAAAGAGTTGGACTTGGCCACAGGCCATACCACGCCAATCCATTCTACGTGAGATCAAGAATTATCACCTAGACAAAAGTCAGATGCAGTTTCTTAAATGTTTCTGCTGAGTGACCCAGATGATTTTCCATTTCCTGTGTTGGCCATGGAATTCTAAGAGCTACTGAAACCTAATTTCAAAATCCCATTCTTCTCAAAGGAATACAAATATTACCACCTAGTATTTCAAGCATGATGTATGACTCAACACACTTCTTCCCTGGCTGAAAGGATGCATACATGTCTAACAGATACACTCTCTGGCATAATATTCTCTTCATATTTTATCTAGGTCATGGCTAAGACTCAAATCACTGACTAAATGAATCTTGCTAAACAAAGATCAATTTTTGGCTAATTAGCATGGAAGAAAAATTTACAATTCAACTCACTTATGAACATTAATACTACACATGTAAATATTTTTCTTAATAGGTTCTCTAGATCTTTATTCTCAATACATATAATTTCATTTTGCTAAATTTACATTTTAATTATGTTTTTCCAAATGAAAACATAAAGAGAATATTGCTGGGTACAGAAAATAGCCACTTAGTGTGGAATAAACATGATTTCTATTGGCACACAGAAATGATTTAATTAGACTAGTATTCTCAATAAGCTTTCCACATACTGGAAACACATGGGGAGAGTAAAAAAAGAAACAAGAGATGCTTGAGTCCTACCCTTCAGAGGTTCTTAGTTAATTCATCTGGAATGGGGCCCAGGCACTGGAATCACCATCCTGAAGTGACTCCAGTGAGCAACCTGGAAAACAGCCAGTGGTCTAGACTGTTCCTGCTGTGGTACACATGTGGTTAGGAGGTGTTTGCTCCCTAAGGCTCTGTGTGTTGGACTCTTGGTCCAGGGATGGTTGGTATTAGGAGTTGGTATATAACCCAGGAGAGTTGGGGCCTAGTGGAAAGTCCTTAGGTCACTAAGGAAGTTCCCTCAGAAGGGATGAAGCTAGTTCTCTTGGGAATCCTTGGTAGTTTTCTCAAGAGGGTTACTACAAAAGCAGCAAGACCAGACCCAACTACCTCTCTGGCTTCCTGTTTCCAGATGTCACTTCTTATTCCTGCACACATTTCTGCCACTGTACTATGAGGTCCCAGGACAAAGCCAGTGCCATGCCCTTGAACCTCCGAAGCTGTGAGCTAAGTAAACCTCTTTCTTTATAAAGTTAGCCCACCTCAAGTATTTAATTATAGTAGCACAATGCTGATTAATACAGTTCACATCCCTTTGATATTCAAGTTCACAAAAATATTCACTAAGAAAATTCATTTAGTCTATTTTTTAAAAGTTATCAATGCCACACCTTATATGCAGAACAGTTTGGATAATACAATCTTTTGCAAAAGGGAACACCCAAGAGCTAGGGGAAGGTGGGAGGGAACAAAGTGGAAAGGGGTTTAAAAAAAACAAAAGCATTAAGACATATAACGTACATGTACCAACACCTCACAATGAATGTAATCATTATGTACTGCAAACACATACTAATAAAAAATAAAAAGCAAAAGTGTGCCAGGAATCACATGCTAATAAGTTAAATTGCAAATAACCCCTTCAACTTGATAATAAAATTAGAAAAAGACAAAGTTCATGGAGTGAAAATGTAATGACTTTCTTCAACTAAGTTATTTCGCCATTAACTATGTATGTGACCTCTGACAAACTTCCACAAGAGTATTTCCAGGGATGGTAAATGTTTTAGAGACCAAGTGCCTAATCTGCAACCCAAAACCCACTTATTACACACCACCAACACTGCAGTTAAATATTCTGAATATCCATCACTTAGCAACTTGGCTTCCATGTTGACAGAGAGGGTCTGGGTGCCTACTACAGTACATGTGCCATAGTACACTGTATAGCTGATATTTTTCTATGTTACATTTTATAGTTCTACTACACTGCCTTTTAATATCTCTTTCTGGTCTTTCTATAAAATCAAGGCATTTCAGCTATAAAACAAGAACACAACATGTAAAATCAAAGTTTATAAAGAGGATTGGAAGTTCTTAAAAGTTTGTGCAAGTGCATGATTACTGGGGTCGACAGTCCACCTCCTCACTGAGATGAGGATTCTATTTTCTTTCTCCTTGAGTCTGGGATGGCCATGGGATCACTTTATTTTTATCTATTTTTTTGCAGGACTGAGGTTTAAACCCAGGAGATCACGCATACTAGGCAAGTGCTCTGCCACTCAGCTACATTCCCAGTCCTTTTTATTTTTTATTTGAAGAAAGGACCTTTCTAAGTTGTCAAGGCTGCTCTTGATCATGCAGTCTCCCTGCCTCAGCCTCCCCAGTAGCTGGGAATGCAGGCATGCATCACAGCATCCAGTTTGGGGATCACTTTACCCAATAGAAGTGAGGTTCTGATAGAAGAGAACACAGTTAACTGGACATGAACTGGAGCTAGAAGAACCACAGCTAAGCCTGAGAGGCAAAACCTCAGACAGACCAGAGGCCAAGCTTCTTGACTGCAATCGAATTTTCAATCTTTGCATTCCCTGAGGCGGGCTCAAAGAGCCCTGTCTAGGGACCCCATCACCAGTCTAAGGTCCACACAGTGCACCTAAGGGACTCCAGCTCCCAGCAGCTCCACTATCCCCCTCCCCCGCCAGCTGTATGGCAGTCTCGACCCTCTTTGGAAGAGCTCTTTGTACCTGGGCTTTCTCTCAGGTACTGCACCCCTTCCTTGGGAGCATACATTCCCTATAAGCTACTGCAACTCTTCAAGCACTCCCAATCCACCAAGCTGCTGGACTGGACTCTCCCAAGTGCACTGTGCCTGTCCCAAGGACCAAGACAAAAGACAATATAGATACACCCAGGTCCTGGCCAAGGCAGAAGCCTAAATCTAGTAACATTGTCAGTCCTAAGCTGCTGGGAACCCTGAGCTGCCTTGACTACATGGAAAGTGAAAGGCCCTGAGATGGCCAGAGAAGAACCAAAGAACCTGAAAAGAAAGGAAAACCAAGACCCCATACATGAGCCCTGTCAAGTTTTTCCAGCCTGCTCACTGTCATCTGATCTACTCTAGTTGAAGGGGCAGAAATGTGTGAAAGATACTCTACATCTAATGGACCCCTTACTTTATAAATTTTACAACTGTAAACAATATCAAAATTAGTACACAAGGCCAGGGATACAGCTCAGTGGCACAGTGCCTGCCTGGCAAAT